ACTCACTCTTTGCCGTCCCCCGACTCCACGTCATGCGCGGACCCCGGTCTGGTCCTGCTTATAGCTGTTATCGACCTTGTTCTTGATTTTGCCTACCTGGTGCTTATTGCCTACTGCCCTATGGCCTCGAAAGAATCTCGACCACCCCCTTTTCACTTTTTCGACCGGTTTCAGTCCCCGATCTGGCCGGGACATCGCCTTCAAGGAGATCAACCCCGTTGCTGTGTTGAGGGGTGCGGAAAGATAGCCGACTCCCTTGTCATGGCGTGACTGGTGTCGATATACGGTTACCCAAGAACCAAGTATTATATATCCCCGCCCTCGCGTAGACACGTTGTTTATTCTCCTGTTCTTATCCAGGCCATTGCCTGTGGACATACAACGGATGATGTGGCGACTGTTCTGAGGTTTCGTGGCAGTGTTGACCTCTGATTTGCCGTCCTGATGGCCTCCGGGCTAATCCGTGCATGGAGCCTTGCTGTTGGGCTGAGTACTCTACTCGCATGCCCTGTCCCTATCCCTCTGCATTGCCTGAGTAATATACGAATAGTTCTCCCCGACTGTCCCTCTCGTCTCGACGATGTCCGTATCGTAGCATGACAAGGCGTGAGATGCAGTATTTCAACGCTGGTCCAGCGCACAAGCAGCACTTGAACTACATATAATTACGATGTATATGTCTGTAGCGGTTGTTGAAGGACTCGGTGAAATTGAATACAATATACATTGAATACGGAGGTTGATGCGCAGGCATATCTGTACGTTGTAATTACACTTACACCCAGAATATCTTCATCGGCGCCCTCCGCAAAGAAAACAAAACAATTGGTCCTCCGTGTCCGTACCCGTACCGCGCCCCACTTTCCGGGGGTTCGTTCCGCCCAAAGTCCCAGAGGTACGTCAGTACCCACAGCAAGTACCAAGTACCAAGTACCTTAGGCAAATTAGGTAAGGTAGGTAGTCTGATGAGCTCACCGTTAGCTTTCTTGTCACGTGACTATCCAGGCGTTAGGTACGTTACATGCGTACCGTTGCAGCTTTTCGCGTTGCTCTGAACCGTCAAACAGCCACAGCCAACTCAACTTCGACCTTCGACACCATCGCATTGACTTTTATTTGGAAACCCCGCCCGCGCTGTTCCGGTTTCCCGTCGCGTCCAGCTCATCAACGGAATCGTAACACAATCTCACATCTCAGTTGCGATAACATCAACACGCAGCAAAGATGGGCAAGAAGAAGCGCTCGTATCCCGACATCGAGGAGGTCCTCTCGCGCCCTTGGTGCTACTACTGTTTGTCTTTCCCGAGCTAGGTGACCTTCCTAGGTGACCTGCCTAGGTGACCTTCCCAGGCGGGGGTTTGCCACTATACTGTAGAGGGCAGAAGCTAATGGAGGCCAACCAGGTGAGCGAGACTTTGAGGACCTCAAGCTCCTCATCTCCCACCAGAAAGCGAAGCACTTCAAATGCGATCGGTGCGGCCGCCGTCTCAACACAGCCGGAGGTATGTTTTGCGTTTATGAATTGTCTTCTCTTCTCATCTCGAATTGGGAAAGTTGACCCGTTGCCTGTCCCCAGGTCTCTCCGTGCACATGAACCAGGTCCACAAGGAGGCGCTCAACCAAGTGGAAAACGCGTTGCCGAACCGACAAGGCCTCGACGTCGAAATCTTCGGAATGGAGGGCATCCCGCAGGAGACGCTGGAACAGCACCGCACCCGCATCGTGCAGAACTTCTACCAGGCGCAGGAGGACAGGCGGATCGCCACGGGCAACCCGCAGCCGGGCCAGGCGAAGCCGCCGAGGAAGAAGGTCAAGATGGAGACGCCGGAGGAGCTGAAGAAGAGGCTGGCCGAGCATAAGGCGAAAGTCGCGGCTGCGAAAGCGGCTGGTGTGAGCGGGAGCCCTGTGGCGGGCGCTGCTCCTTTGAGCGTCAGTCCCGGTGCAATTGTACGTTTCCCTCGAATATGTATTGAGTGTACCCCTTTTGCGTGGTTGCTGACTTTTTTTCCCTCTTTTCTTCCCCTCTGTCTAGAACAATTCACCCTACCCTCCCCCCCAAGTTCCCTACGGTACCGCACCAACCGACCAGCAATTCCCCGCCGCCGCCGCCGCCGCCGCCGGTGTGGCCGTCCCTCCTGGCGCGCAACCGTACACGCAACAACCCTACCCGGCTGGCGGCTACCCCGGATACCCCGCGACGGCGGCGGCATCGCTCCCCACGAGGACCCCGGGCAGCGTCGAGCCGGCTTCGGGCCTACCACAACGTCCTTCTTACGGGAACGGCGCAGCGGGCGGGGCTGTGGGCGACGAGATTGATCAGCTTATTCGGATGGCGGAGTCGGGGGTCAGGCCGGCGAGGAAACCGGAGGAGGGCGAGGGAGCGGCGACGGAGAAGAAGTCGAAGAAGGGTGGTAGGATGGTGTACTCGGATGATAATGTTAGTCCCGAGGAGAGGATTGCGCAGCTATCCCGGTATGCGTGGGTGCCGCCTGTGTCGTAGTTCTTCTTTTTCTTGCACTTTTTTCGGCTTTTCTCATCTTAGTTGAGAGACGGTTGGGTGTTTATCAGGGGGTTACATGGGCGCAGTAAGCGGTTGTAGTTGTCGTAGGGAGGGCAATGTAAGACTACGGTATGACTACTGTGAAAAGCTGACCTGGGAATGAAAACGAAGGGCTCCTCGTGACGTGCAAATGTCCGGTGTTGCTCTTCACTTACAACATTGAACGCATGCAACCCCCATGGCATGACATTGGCAGGTCACTTGAATAAAACTAGGTTCACTTCAGGACGACTAGAAGGAAAGAAGTAGGTATTGCTGGTCGAAACCACTGATGCAGAAGAGACTGAGGGTGTAACAAGACAGCCACGACGACAACTTCGAACCAGTTCTGACCAGTGCCGTCAGTTTCACTGTCTATTACTCTGTTGGAAGACGAATCACATGAAAGCCGAGGGCAAGTAAGTAAGGACGGAGTGCGGTTCGACCAAGCCAGACAATGGACGTCTAAATGAATGTGTTTTCGTAGCACAGTAATACAGACCCAGGTCAGGCCTTCAAGGGTAAATCGGAAAGGAAAAAAAAAAAGAAAAAAAGGAGTCATTCTCGGGGACGGAGCATCTCTCTCCAGCCTCTCCCTTTACGTCAAATCAGGGCAAGTCTGCCCCGGCTGCGGCTAAATAGGAGGGCGGACGGACTCTCCACCTGCAATCATACATCACCATCATACCCCGGCACCCTTCATCTTCCCCCGCAACTCGATCCACAGCTGACACCCGGGAGGCGTTTCTGGGCTTTCTCAGGGAAGGTGCTTGTATCGTCCTTTGAGCCGAATAATTCAAGGCGGGAGACAGGGAATCAATGGGTTCAATGTTCAAGTGCTGGCTTTCTATCCTGGAGCCCCCGACTCCTGACAGCTCTTAACATACCTACCTATATCCCCTATATCTATATTCCACTTACAACGTAGACGCTGCGCATTACAACGTACAGCTACAGACTACCATGCTCTGCAGACTAATACAGCTAATATGACCTGTCCACGCGTGCCTGCAGTAGTCTCCCCTTCCCTTCAAGCCACTCCCACGGCCCATTCTCCTTCTCCGTCCCTTCTCCGTGGCATGACATGACATCTCGACAAAGAGACAGAAAGTCAGAGACCACCCACTGCTCAAACGGAACATCGCCCGACCTAGCCGGCCAGTACGCCACCATCGGCACCTCAACCAACTCCCGCCCCACGTCTCGGCACCCGTTAGCTGCCAAGGGCCTAATGTCCCCTCCGTCCACGGCTCTGACCTGTTGATTTACAGCGTACATACCCCGTACAGTTACCTACTCCGCTGGGGGAAGCCACAGAATCCCCCAAGACTCTCCTCCTCGAACGCAGATTGGTGGAATAACAAGGTCGTACGTAAAGGGGCCGGGCCTTTCACAACCGGCCGAATTACCCTTACCGGTGCGTCTATACCTAACCTATCATGGGTATTGCCCACCGGTGACGGTGACGGCGGTGATGGTGATGACGATGGTTGACGGACGGCCGGCCCAGTCTGCTTCCTATTTGCACGTTCTGCTCTTCTGCTTCCTCCAACTGTACTGTTCAGCCTTTTCTCTTTCCCCCCTGGCTGCCTGGCATCATGCATGGTTTCCTAGACCATTATTGGCTGCTTTGAACCGAACCTGTATGCACGTGGGGACCTGGATGTCGACAGCTTAGTCTGCTCAGCTCCGCCGAATTGGGTCGACAAGTACGAATAATGGACAGGAGAGAAGTGGGAGACCTGGTTACTTGGCGGCCATTGCATGCTTGGTGCGCCATACAACCCTCGTTCTGGTCGTCGTTTATCCATACTCCGTAGCTCGTAGGTTGTGCCCATTCTTCCTGCGGCCCGGGCTGCTGCTGCGGCTGCTGCTGCTGGCCTCCTCCTCGTGCAAAGCTCAGAAAGAGCTCCTCTCCCTCTCCGGCTCAACCATGCATCCATGCATCATGGCCCATCCGCCCCCCCGGAATTCGGTCCAGGGCCCAGCCTTGGTCATGTGTGAGAGCAGAGGAGAGGTCAAGATGTAGCCGAATAAGGAGTTGAGCCCATTCTCATGTTTCCGCCCCCCTCCACCTCAACCCCCCTTGCTCCCAGCTCTCCGGATTCTTATATATTCCACTCATGCCCCTTCCCCTTCTTAGCTCATGGTTGGTTTTCTCCCCCTGTCCGAGGTCCTCCGAGTCAGCTCATCTCCTCCTCCTCCTCTGAGGCACCTTTTTAGTATATTTTCCTAGCCATTGGACCCTCCTCTCCTTCCCACCATGAAGGGACCCAGCGTCAAGTCCCTGTCGCTGGCCGTCCTCTCGGGGCTCGTCCCCTGGGTCTCGGCCCTGGGACAGCAGCCCATCGTCTCCTTCGAGAGCGCCGAGGGCGCGCTCCAGATCGTCGGCGGCGAGGCCGGCACCGGCCAGATCCGCGTGTCCGGGAACGACTACTGGGGCGTCATCCGTGCCGCCGGTGACCTGGCCGCCGACTTTGGTCGCGTCACCGGCACCAACTTTAGCCTGAGCAACGGCCAGAGCGGTGCTTCGCCCGCGCGGTACCGGTTCCGTCCTGTCGACGTGACCGACAACACCGTTGTACGTTGTCCCGTCGTCCTCGACTGCTCTCCTCCGGGCCTGACATGGGAGTGATATAAAAAATGCTGTCAAGACGACAACAGAGCCATGAAAAATTTGATATGTGCTGACGATACGTACGCTCATAGTTCCGCACCCTCGAAGAAGACTCCTTCGCCGGCCCGGCCTACGCGGACCCCGAAGCCGAAAACACCGTCATCATCGCCGGCACCATCGGCACCGACGGCATCATCGACCAGCTCATCGCGGCCGGCTCCCTCGACGTCAGCGAGGTCGAGGGCGAGTGGGAGGCCTTCGTGAGCCAGCTGGTCGACAACCCCATGGACGGCGTCGCCCGCGCCCTCGTCATCGCCGGCAGCGACCCCCGCGGCACCATTTATGGCATTTACGACGTGAGCGAGCAGATCGGCGTCAGCCCGTGGTACTTCTGGGCCGACGTCGCCGTGCGCCAGAGGGACGAGATTTACGTGCTGCCCGAGCGGAAGGTGCAGAAGTCGCCTTCGATCAAGTATCGGGGCATCTTTATCAACGATGAGCAGCCTGGGCTGTCGAGCTGGGTGGCGTGAGTCCCCCCCTTTGCCCCTTTGCCCCCTAGTCCTCCCACTGACATCGTACAGCACCCAGTGGGACAACACCTGGAACGACGCCGCCCCCTACAACCACCACTTCTACGCCCTCGTCAGCGAGCTCCTCCTCCGTCTGCGCGCCAACTACCTCTGGCCCGCGCTCTGGGGCAGCATGGTCTACGTCGACGACCCCCTCAACCAGCCCCTGCTGGACGCCTACGAGATCGTCCTGGGCGGGTCGCACACCGAGCCCATGATGCGCGCCCAGAACGAGTTTGGCACCTTCTACGAAGGCCCCTGGCAGTACAACAACAACAACGAGACCATCGACGAGTACTTCCGCTACGGCGTCGAGCGCGCCCGGCCCTACGCCCGCAACAGCGTCTGGACCATGGCCATGCGCGGCACGGGCGACACGGCCATCGAGGGCGACCTGGGCATCGACGCCATCGTCTCCATGCTGGAGACCCTGGTCGACAACCAGCGCCAGATCCTGGTCGACGGGCTCGACGACATCGAGCACGCCTCCGAGGTCGACTCGCTCTGGTGCCTGTACAAGGAGGTGCAGTCGTACCAGGAGCGCGGGCTGGTCGTGCCCGAGGACATCACCCTCCTCTGGGCCGACGACAACTGGGGCAACGTGCGCCGGCTGCCGCTGGCCAACGAGACGGAGCGCTCCGGCGGCGCCGGCGTCTACTACCACTTCGATTACGTCGGCGGCCCGCGCAGCTACAAGTGGATCAACACCATCCAGCTCGAGAAGACGGCCGAGCAGATGCACCTGGCCTACGAGCGCCACGCGCGCAAGATCTGGATCGTCAACGTCGGCGACATCAAGCCCAAGGAGATCCCCATCAACCACTTCCTCGACATGGCCTACGACGCCGAGATGTACGGCGTGCACGCGACCACGCGGTGGATCAACGACTGGGTGCGCCGCGAGTTTGGCGGCGACGACCACGTCGACCACATCACCGACGTGATGATCCGCTACGGCATGTACGCCGCGCGCCGCAAGTACGAGCTCCTCGAGCCGTGGGTCTACTCGGTCATCAACTACCGCGAGGCCGACGCCGTGCTGGCGCAGTGGGCCGCCCTCGCCGCCGACGCCCAGTCGGTGTACGACGCGCTCGACGACGCCTACCGGCCGGCCTACTTCCAGACGGTGCTGCACCCGGTGCTGGCGGGCGAGATCGTGCACCGGATCCAGGTCAACGGCGCCAAGAACCAGCTGTACGCGGCGCAGAAGCGCAACGCCGCCAACGACGTCATCTGGGAGTCGCTGCAGCTCATGTACGACGACGCCAACCTGACGCAGCGGTGGAACGAGATGCTGGACGGCAAGTGGGCGCACATGCTCGACCAGACGCACCTCGGCTACGACTACTGGCAGCAGCCCATGCGCAACACGCTGCCCAACCTGCGCTTCGTCCAGGACGTCTTCCCCTCGCTGGGCGGCGAGTGGGGGATCACCGTCGAGGGCACCAACGCCAGCGCCCAGGGCGACAGCCAGTGGCACGCCCTCTCGACCAACGACCTGTTCCTCCCGCCGCTGGACCCCTGGGGCGCCGCCGACAGCTACGTCGAGGTGTTCCACCGCGGGCCCAGCGAGTGCAACTGGTTCGCCGCGCCCTGGGAGGACTACGTCCGGCTGTCGGTGTACAACGGCACGGTGGGGGGCGACGACGGCCGCGACACGCGCATCTTCGTCAGCGTCGACTGGCAGAGGGCGCCGCCCGCCCCGAGCACGTCGCAGGTGTACATCAACTTTACGAGCGACTGTCTTGGCTTCGAGCAGTACGCGGGCGACTTGCCGCGCGCCGTGGTCACGGTCGAGCACCGCCTGCTCCCGGAGAACTTTACCGCGGGATTCGTCGAGTCGGACGGCCACGTCGCCATCGAGGCGCCGCATTACCAGGCCATCTACCCTGCGCAGAACAACACGGGCGGCCACGGTCACGGTCACGGTCACGACCACGATCACGGTCACGCTCCCAACTCGACGGCCCTCGTCCGCCGCCACGACAACACCACAGACGGAGGCCACCACCACCACGGCGACGGCGACGGCGACGGCCCGGAATACCACCTCTTCGAGAACTACGGCCGCACCCTGGCCGGCGTGGGCCTCTTCCCCCTCGACACGGAGAAGCTGCAAGTCGGCGAGGGCCCGGCGCTCGAGTACTCGCTGTACCTCTTCACGAACCACTCGGCCGCCAACGTGACGCTGTACATCTCCACCGCGGCCAACTACCTGGGCGACGGCAACCCGCTCGAGTACGCGGTGGTCCTGTTCCCCACGGGCGGGGCGCAGCCCGAGCCGAAACGCGTGCAGCCCATCGGGCCCAACATCGGCGGCGACATGCCGGTCGGCTGGGACGGCGCCGTGGCCGACGCGGTGTGGGGCCTCACCGGCAACTACACCACGTCCAGCTTCGAGGTGCCCAGGGCGGGCGCCTACACGCTGCGGGTCTGGGCGCTGCTGCCGAACTTGATCGTTCAGAAGATCGTGGTCGACCTGGGCGGCGTGCGCAGCTCGTACCTCGGACCGCCCGAGAGCTTCCTGGTCGGGAGGGACGAGAGGGGCGAGTATAATGGCACTTCGTTCGCCACTACGTCGGGTATCGTGGGTGCGCTGAGCCGCAACGGCACGCAAGGCCACGGCGGGGAGGAGAGTGGTGCTGTGGGTGTTTCTGCTTCGAGGGGGCTTGGTCTGGCCTTGCTTCCTCTGGTCCTCGGTCTCTTTATGAGCCTGTGATGTAGAGTTGGCGAGTGATGGTTGAGTGACGAGGGGGGTGACGAGGGGGAGTGACGAGAGACGAGTTACGGTGATGTGCTAAAAGTGACGGTGATTCAAGAGTGTGTCGGGTCGTGTCTCCATAGCTGTTGTTGTGTTGGTTATTAAAAGAAATAGAGCTTTTTTCCAGTGTGTAATTCGTTGCATGATCATTTTCCCTGTCCATGAAAGTCCAATGTTCGCTGCAAACTCACAAACCTTGTGACCACCCAAGCTTCAATCCAAAGGGCATCAGACCCTGTGCAACCAGGACCGTGATCATGGAAAGCTGTGAGGGAAGCCAGCCCTACGCCCAGAGCATCTCGAGAAAAGGGGGCATCTTACCTGTGCAGTGACGTCTGAGGAGCTATGTCGGCGAGGTTCCCACGTTAAAGAGTGGTGGTGAGATGACGGGAGTAGTAGCATGAATATGTTCAGTAGCGGGTGGTAGCATAGTAGGAGGTAGTATAGTAGGAGGTAGTATAGTAGGAGGCTCTGAAAGTGTGAATAGCTTCAAAAGAGGAAGACTTGATGAGTTTAGTTGTTAGTCAGCAGAAGTGGCTGTACAGTGGCAAGGCAGTGGATGGCAACTGTCCAGGTACCAACACGTAGCTTCCATTGGCTTCAAACAAATGAAACCGCCAAGCCAACGCTAGCGTAAGAGTCCCGGTTGCCGGGGAAACAGGTACCTGAAGCCCCACTAAAGAAAACAAACGTCACGCTGTTTCCCTCTGTACTCGGCACTTGAGTACTTGCACCTACGCAGGAAGTGGCCGAAATAACAAGTAACTAACAAGGTGCCCCATACTAAAAGTACCGTACCCCTACTTCGTACCCACAAAGTACCAGAGTACCTTCATCTTGTTTACTGCCCTGCCAACTTTGTCTTCCCTTCAACATCCTTCGACGACATCTCTCAATGAACAGCCGACCACTGAGGACAAACGCGGACGTGCCTCTATCTTTTTCCCCTTCTTCTTTTGTTCTTCTTTCATCAAGTTTTATGAGTCCCTATTAGACTTTGCGACGCCACTGGTTACGCGCTTCCTCTGTTTTTCGCTTGCCTTGGCCCTCGACCCTCGATCATCAACGATCTCTTCTCTCTCGAGGGACAAGGCAGAGACCCCGCAATCTTTGAGTCTTGGAACTCAATAGGCTCGGAGATCCAAAGAAGATATTTTCCCAGACCCTAATGCGAGATGCGCAACGATCGGGGAGCTTCGTCCATCACCGTCGCAGGTTTGTTGTTTCTCCCACTGCCATCCCAACGTATGTGTCCGTTGGAGACATCCAGGCTAACCCGCGCTTTTTGGTGTTTAGTTCGCGTGCGACCCTTTACCATTCGCGAGGCTGCACAGATGTATGCCCTTCCTAACTTTCTTTACCATGCAAGAACAGAACAAATCACGACTTACACTGACGTGAACAGAACGCGCAACGACGATGGCAACATCTTCCTGGGTGACGGCTCCCTCGCTGCTGTCCCGACACCCAAGCTGAATACCCGCGGTCTTCGGCCTGTAATCAAAGTCGTCGATGACAGATGCCTGTCCGTCTTGCCTCCTTTTTCTTTTCTTTTTTTTTTTTGTCTCTTATTGTAGATAAATTATCTTCTAACGCCTCGCAGCGTGTTCGACCCTCCCGAAGACAACCCCGTCCACAGATTCTCCCGCTCCGTCGTCCCCAACGGCAAAAAAGTAAAAGACCAAGTCTTTGCCTTTGACCGAATCTTCGACGAAAACGCCACGCAAAACGACGTGTACGAGGCGACGACCAAGAACCTCCTCGATAGCATCCTCGACGGTTACAACGCCACCGTCTTCGCCTACGGCGCCACCGGCTGCGGCAAAACCCACACCATCACCGGCTCGGCCCAGCAGCCGGGCATCATCTTCCTCACCATGCAGGAGCTCTTCGAGAAGATCGACGAACGCAGCCAGGACAAGATCACCGAGGTCACCCTCTCCTACCTCGAGATCTACAACGAGACCATCCGCGACCTCCTCGTGCCCGGCGGCGGCGGCGGCAAGCAGGGGCAGGGGCTGATGCTCCGCGAAGACTCCAACCAGGCCGTCTCGGTCGCCGGCCTGACGAGCCACCGGCCCCGGGACGTGCAGGAGGTCATGGACATGATCGTCCAGGGCAACGCGTACCGCACCGTGTCGCCCACCGAGGCCAACGCCGTCTCGTCCCGGTCGCACGCCGTGCTGCAGATCAACGTGGCGCAGCGGGACCGCAACGCCGACGTCCACGAGCCGCACACCGTGGCCACCCTCAGCATCATCGACCTCGCCGGCAGCGAGCGCGCCAGCGCCACCAAGAACCGCGGCGACCGGCTCCTCGAGGGCGCCAACATCAACAAGTCGCTGCTGGCCCTCGGCAGCTGCATCAACGCGCTCTGCGACCCGCGCAAGCGCAACCACGTGCCGTACCGCAACAGCAAGCTCACGCGCCTGCTCAAGTTCTCGCTGGGCGGGAACTGCAAGACCGTCATGATCGTCTGCGTGAGCCCGTCGAGCGCCCACTTTGACGAGACCCAGAACACGCTCCGCTACGCGAACCGCGCCAAGAACATCCAGACCAAGGTCACGCGCAACGTCTTCAACGTCAACCGCCACGTCAAGGACTACCTGGTCAAGATCGACGAGCAGATGGCCCTCATCAACGAGCTCCGGGCGCAGCAGAAGGACGCCGAGACCCTGTCGTTCGCCAAGTTCCGCAAGCTGCAGGAGAGGCGCGAGGCCGTGGCCCGCGAGGGCATCCAGAGGATCCGCGCCGCGCACGACAACGCCGCCGCCGAGCGCCGGGAGAAGATGGCCAGCATGAAGAGGCTGCGGGGGCTCGAGCGCCGCATCGGGCTGCTGTCTGCGTGGGTCGCCTCCTTTGACGCCATTTGCGATGCCAGGGGGGGTGGTAGTGGTGGTGGTGGTGCTCACGACGCCGCCGCCGCCGCCATGCCGCAGAACCTCGTCGCCATGCGCAAGACGGCCCACGGCGTCCTGGCCGAGCTGGAGAACAGCCGCCACCACATCCGCCAGCGCCTGGACAAGTTCAACTGGGAACGCGCCCTCGACACGGCCCTCCATCACAGCATCCAGCAGCTGCAGGGCCCGGACGGCGAAACCGAAACCGGGCCCGGGACCGGGACCGGGACCGACTGCGTCGAGACGGCCAACCTGGCGCGCGAAGTCGAGGTGCTCAAGGCGAGCTTCGCCAGGGAGGCCTACCGGGAGGTGCTCGAGTCGGACAAGGCGGGCGACGCGGCGGCCGTGCAGGTGCTCCTGACGGCGCAGTTCGACATGCTGGCCTCGCTGGCCGAGACGCTGGAGATGAACGAGGAGGACGCGGTGGCGCACGCCAAGCGCATCATCCACCGGCTCCTCGAGACGGGGGCTTCGGCGGCGTCGCAGGTGGTCAAGCCGGATGGGTCGATGGCGGTGCCGGCGGCGGAAAAGTTCTCGCCTCGCAGGCGGGGGACGCCCAAGAGGAAGAAGATGACGATGATGACGATGGGGCCTGGCGGTGCCGCTGTGCAGCCCATCCCTGCCCCGGCGGGCCTGATGTCCATGCCGACCACGACGACGACGGTCCTCCCGAGCTTGTCGTCGCAACCCGTGTTCGCGGCGGCAGCATCCCCGTTGAAGGGCACCCCGCGACGACGAAAGCCGCTGCATGCTCGTAAGGGGGTTTCGGTGTCCTTCTCGCCGGCGAAGAAGAGGTCGCCGGCGAAACGCAGCGTGCGGTGGCGGGACGACGAGACGGAGGAAGGGACGCTGGCCGACTATGAAAAGACGCCCAAGATGTACGATTCCACGCCGGAGCAGCAGCGGGGGCTGGTGGTCGGGGCGAAGCGGCCGTCTGCGCTTCCCGTTTCGCCGCTGGCGTCTTTTGCGCAGAGAGATGAGCCAGAGGAACAGGAGGAGATGCAGCAAGAGACGGAGTCGATGGTCAGGGGACAGGAAACCATGACGGCTACGGTGGCAACCGCACCTATCACCCATTCCAACTCTAGCCCGTCGATCGAGCTTCCCGAGACGACTACCGTTCAGCCGGCGAAACCTAACAGGTTCCAGGCAGGATTCCTCAGCAAGGGCGCGCGACCGTCCATGTCCATGCAAAACAGTGGCGGTGGCTCGCCTAACCCGTCGCCTCCGCCTTTCTTCTCCCTGCGCCTCGGATCCTCCACATCGTCACCCTCTTCGTCACCCTCCTCGCCCTACAACAACAACAACAACAACAACAACAACAACAACAACAACAACGACGGCAGCGAAGAAGACCGGCTCGCGCCGCTTAGGTCGCTGGACGTGTCCCGGTCTTCCAACCTGTCGGTAGCGTCTCACGGGTCCAGGATCGCGCGCCTCAGCCCACCACCGCCGCGCCCTTCGCTCCCCCCCTCCAGCGGCGGCGTCCCGGACGAGAACAACCCACCACCGCCGCCGACAGCATCATCGTGGACCTCTTCCTTGCTATCGGGCCACTCGTTCTCGTCCGACTCGGATCATCCCACCCCGACCATCGACGCCCAGAAACTGCGGTCCGCGCTGCACTCGGTCAAGAAAGCCGGCGGCGGCGCGCGCAGGGTGTCCTCCCTGTCCATGTCCATGTCGGTTTCCGGCTCGGGAGGCGGAGCGGCCTCGTCGTCGTTGTCGTCGTCGTCGTTGTCGTCGTCGTCGTCGTCGCACGGGAGACAACGCGTCTCCTCGGCCGGGCTCGACAAGATGGGCCACCGCCGCGCGTCGGCTAGTTTCTCGGGGTCGCTGTCGGGCGGTTCTTCCAACGGCATCTCGCGGCATCATAGGAGGATGAGCGCCGAGAGGCGGAGGTCGCCGCCTATTGCGTGCTCGCCTCCAGAGTTTCAGTTTCGGGGCGGGTTCACGACGGGCCAGGCGAGGCGGATGAATTTCGGGGCGGGGAGTGTGAGGGCGTCGAATGCTGGGGCTCTTTCGCATGCTGCTGGTGGTGGTGCTGGTGCTGGTGCTGGTGCTGCTCCTACCACATCTGCTGCCGCTGCTGCGACTACCACCGAGGGGGACAGTCCCGAGGCGAGGGCACTGAGCGGCGAGGCCAGGAATAGACGTGTCACTATTGGTGGGATGGCTACCATGGCCGGTCCGGCTACACGGGGCAAGGAGGGTGCTGTCCGGGCTAGTGTTGGATGGCGGTGATGTTTTTCTTTACGTTTGTCTATCATTCATCTGGGGGGCGGCGTTCTTTGCATCTTCGTCCTTTCGTCTTGTTCACATGGAGTTCTACGGCTTTTGGGTGTCTGTCCTCCCTCCCATGTGGCGTTTGGAGGGAATCATCCTAGATACACCCTTGGTATGCACGTCGTGTCTTTGGCAGGGCCGTCGTTGACTTGACCTTGGCCCCTTTGGTGGTGTACTATTAGGCTATTTCTTTTTCTTTTTCTTCTTCTTCGTTTTCTCCCATCCGTCCGCATAATGAGATGATGCCAATATCTGATATATCCCTTTGGCGTCGCGGCTGCTGCTGTGTTTCTCTCCTGACTCCTGACTGTACTAGAATCCTCTTGCCTCTATTATAATTCCCTCGAAGAAGGTATTATAAGAGGACCTGACAGCACATGCACCAAACTCGCAGAAACTGATAGGTAATGTACAAATAAATATTTTTGCATATACGGACTACATACAATATGGACACGCCGTATACCTTACCCAAGGTAGGTTGTTCAACAATGTCGCAGCCGCTTGCGACGGGGTATTCGGCATCAACTTTGTACTTTGAGTGCGTCCCCAACGCACAAGGGCACCGAGCCACAACAGGCCCGGAACAACGACCGTAGACTAGACAGCGCAGAGCTACGCCACGCCCTTCCACCATCTTGAACGGCAAGGAAAAGCGCCTCTTCCCATTCCATGCCGTCATCCTCGCTCTCGCTCCCTTGAAAACGCCCAAAGCCAGCCCCCTCCCACCGAGACAGCCGTCTTGTCCCAAAAGGTGTACATCCCCCCCCCCCCCCTTTTTTAAAAAAGAAAAGGCGTTGCCATGACGATGTGTATAACCCAACATTAGGCCGCCCCCGGTCCGTGATGGCTCCACAACAGCATCGGCCATTGGGTTGCTGGTCCCGTGGGCATCGGCGCTAGCTCCGGCGGCAGAGACCCGTCGTGCTGGCCCACAGGATCATGCGGATCCCGCGTCGGCACGCTGCCCATGCCTATCAACGCATTGGGGTTGAACCGGTCCGAATTGTTCGCCATGGCCGCCGCCCATTCCTGCCAGTTGGTGCCCTGCGCCGTGGGCTGCCGCCAGATGAAAGGATCCGCGTTCGCATCCGCATCCACAACGTGCTGCGTCGCGTGCGACGCGAATGTGAGCAAGGGATTGTCGTCCACCGACGAAACATCGTTCACGCCGCCGTGTCCAGCGTGTGCGTGTGCGTGTGCGTGGGAGTGCGCGTGGGCGTGTGCCCCACCCGAGTACATGTAGCCGGCATTTGGCCCGTACGGCGATGGGTGCGCCATCGTGCTAGCCTGTGGCGGCGGCTCTGAGTAGGTCAAGTGATGATAGGCCCCGCCACCGCTGTGACCACCGTTGTGACCGGAGGAGTCGGGATAATAGTGGGCATGTTGCTGCTGTTGTTGTTGTTGTTGCGGTGGCGGCGGGGGTAGTGGCTGTTGTGGTTGGGGTGGAGGAGGGCGATGATCATGTTGCTGTTCCTGCTGCTGATGATGCTGCCGATGATGTAGATGTTGATGTCGGGGTTGATGTCGTTGTGGTGGTGAATCTTTAGCCATCGATGGTGCTGGCGCTGGCGGTGGCCCGCCATTGGTATGCACAGCTGGTGGTGCCGAGACGGGCGCCGGAGCTGGATACGGTGGTGTCACAGCCGGTCGCTCGGATTTGATCTCGGTAGGAGACGGTGCTGTTGACGTCGCTGTTGCGGACTGCGTTTGTGACGGTGCTGCTGGTCGGGTCGGCAGTTTGCGTGTATTCGTCTTTTGATCGCGCTCTATCCACTGCAGCGTCGCTTCCACCTTGCCCCTCAGCTGTCTACTGATCAGAATGCCGGAGCCTGTAGTTTCTGGTGTCAGCAATGGGAGCGCAAAAGGGAAAGAAAGGAAAGAAAGGAAAGAAAGGAAAGAAAGGAAAGAAAGGAAAAAAGGGAAAAGGAAAAGGGAAAAACAAAAAAAAAAAGGAAAAAAGGAAAAAAGGAAAAAAAGAAGAAAAAAAAGGAACCCCACCCAAAGACGACGCTATCGAGTGAATAACCGTCAGCCAATCCTCCATGTCCGACTTTAAATGCGAAATCTCGCTCTTCGACGCCTCATATCTCCTCTCCCAGTGTGCCACCAGTGTCGTGAACATGGCCGCCGCATAGACGGACATCTGATACCACGTCAGGTCGAGACACTTGAGCTTGTCCAGGCTTCGGACCACGTCGAGCATCTTCGCCGCCGCCTCCTCGCAGATGCGCGCGTTCTCGGCGCACATCTTGGGGTCGTTGGTCATGGCCACCGAAGGGTGACGCAGGCAGAGCCGAAACTCCGTCTCCACCATCTGCACGTAGAGCTGGTACATCTGATTCTCGCCGCCCGGTCCCGGCGACAACAGGGACTCGTGGAGATCGGCCCTCCACTGCTCCAACTGCTCCTCCAAGGCCCGAACCACCGGTATGTAGTTGTTGGGTTCCCTCTTGGGCGAGTAGATGTTGGAGTACATCTCCATGAACAGCGGCGTCATTCGGAGCGCGGCCAAGCCGACGTGGTACGTGCACTGGGCCTTCGACGCCGTATCGACGCCGTCCTCGGTGAGTGCTTCGTCGGCGATGGCTTCCGGGAAATCCACGTCGTACTCCTCCACCGCAATGGGCATGGGCCGACCTAGACGACCATCCAGGGTGACCGAGACGGCAAGGATCGTCCACCAAGTGCGCTTGCGGATCTCGTTGTTCAGGTCGGTCGGTTCTCCGGGGCGTTTGATGGATCGGTGTAGGTTCAGGTCAATGGCGCGATGCATGGCAATCCTGGTCACGAGAGAACCGACGCCGGGCTTGGGAAAGCTACGGGCATGAGCGGCGATCATGGCCATGGCTTGGACCGCCGTCACAGAAGGGAGGGAAGCGAGCTCGAAGAACTTGCCGACGGCGTAGTGGTAGTGGCGGTTCGAAATGTCGTTGGCGTCGACGGCGCTTTGTGGGCTTCGCATGGCTTGTTGGTAGTAGATGATGGCTAATACCATATGCACGATGACGAGTTCCGGCGTCGAAGGCTCGAAGGTCGGGTCGTCGTAGATACGAGCCAGCTTTGTCCCAAGTTAGAGCCGCGGGGCCAACGAAGGAAGAGAAGGGAAAGGGGACAGGAGGAAGAGAAGACGGGAAGGGGACAGGAGGCCAAGCAAGTTACTCACCAATGCCATGTAGGTCGGCTTGTGTAGAACGGGATAAAACGGAAAGACGATGAAGAAGTACCATTCCGAGCATTTGAAGGCCTCTTCCTTCGGCGGGAGGTCGACACGTTGCTGGGGGTTGATGTTCATCATGGATTGTAAGAAAGCCTGGATGGACTTGTTATACAGCGGTTGGGCGACCTCGGCGCCCGGGCTGGGCTCGTCGATGTCGGGCACGTCGAACGAAGTCAGATCGATTGTGGTCCCCAGAATGGTGAGCTGGGTGCCCTTGATCGAGCTCAGAGGGGCGCTGTCGGGACCGACGCCGAGGTGGAGGGCGGCCGGGGGGGAGACGTATCGGGAGCGGGTGATGCTCTTGGTGGTGGGCATCTTCTTCCTGTGCTGATGATTCCTGACCCAGACGGAGCCGACCTGAGCCCACGAGTCCTTCTCGGCGGCGTCCTCAATCGGATGGCCTTGCTGGTCGTACGTAATTCCCGAAGGCGGATGGCCATAAGGCGCATAGTTCCAGGGCTTGACTTCGATGCCGTGATTCGCCAGGACCTTCTCGAGATCTCGAATGTGCTCCTCCATCTCCATCTTGGTGCGCTCCAACTCCTGCAAGTAACCGCGACGTTCGGTCCGGCCTGTTACGCGATCGGTGACGTAGCATTCGAGGTTGGATTGGAGGCAGTGTGAGCAGCCCTGGGGGAGGGCATCGCATCGGATTTTCCGGACCTGAAAAAAGGGACGTTGGTTGGGTTAGTTCTGAGGCTAGTTCTGAGGCTTTCCCACATTTTCCACAGCGCAAGGGATTAAGAGTGGCGCACTTTGCAGCGATCACAGGCCTGCCCGGTTCGGGTGTACTGGTTCAAGCGGTTCTTCACCTGGGCGGAAAAGTCCTCATGATTCTTGCTGTCGATGCGCGGTAGCTTGACCTTGCCCTGGGCTGTGGATACTGAGTGTGGCGGGGAGGAGACGACGGCCGGAGCCGGAACTACGGGCTGCGCGTCGCCGGGAGACGAGGCGGCCGGGTCGGCAGCCCGCTTCGCCGGACGGCCCGCGGGCATCGTCTCGAAGAAGTATTGCAACGACGAGGCCAATGCGGCTATTGATGGTGGTGAGGCGAGCAGGGCCGTCGAAATACTCGGGGGTGGTAAGAAGAAGAACAAAGACCGAGGACCCGGACCTAACAAAGAGGTGTCGAAGCAGAAGCGGGAGTGAGCACGGGCGATGAAGATTCGAGATAAACCGAGAGGGAGCGATTGTTGGATTCGGAAGCGGTGTTCGACGAATTGGCGAGGTTCGTTTAGTCGACAAAGAAGAGAAGACGACGAAGCCAAGGTCCAAGTGATCTAATGAATATCATGTGGAACCTAGAAAGGAGGGAAACGGTGGACGGTGAGAAACGTTGCCGGGTGGGTGGGTGGGGGGGAGCCGTTGTGGGCCACAGTGCGGTATAGCTATCGAACCGTCTTGTCCTGCGTCCTTGTTCGGTACCTTATGGAGAAGATACGTAGACGCGAGCCGCGGCGTACGTTCCAATCGATGGCTAATAGATCGGACGAGGAGGGTTGGTAAGATAAATTGGAGGGAGGGGCGGTTTGGTCGTCGAGGGAGAGGGAGAGGTAGGGAGGGTGTTGTCTCAGCGAAGTGGCAGACGGGAGAGACGAGGGACAAGGAGGACAAGGAGAGATACGGAGAAGAAAGAAGGTAGACGAAAAAGAGATGAACTTGGGGCGGAGAATAATAATTGGAAGGTTAGTGGATTGAACAGATGGACCGTCCTAGTCCGGCAGGCGTCAGCCCCGAGATTTTGTTGCTATTCCCAGAACAGGAGAGGATGAGGGACAACGAGAAGGGCGGGGAAAAAAGAGAAGAAGAAAAAAAGAGTGCGAGGATACCCAAGGTAGGTAACCAAGGTAAGGTAAGGAACTGTCAGGTAATGGGAAAGAAGGCAGCGGGAAAATACAAAGTAGGAAACAAAGTAGGAAAGAACCATCCCTCCCTCCTCCCCGCAAATTGCAAATGGCAAATGGCAAATGGCAAAGGCAGTCTGCCAATGTTGTGCTCCGTACGGATACCCTCTGTCGGCAGTATCTCTCCTATTCTGCGAAGATACTGTACACAATGTGGGAAAAGCAAAAGGGACAAGGCGGATGACAAGGGACGAGGACAGAAAGCGAGGGCTGAGGCCGATAACAACGGGGGTTTGTGACGGTAGAGCAAGGAAGGGCCCTGTTCGATCCGAGAGACCCCAAGAAATTGATTTGCTGTGGGGAAGAGCGGAAGTTGGACACCAAGTACGTTGTACCGGTACGTGTACACGTGTAGAGTACCTTGGTGTACAAAGCACGAAGTACCGTAATTACGAAATACGAAGTACGTCCCTTGAGCTCGTCTAGGTGTCCTATTAAGAGGCCCGGATCTGAGTCGGCATGAGGCATGAGGCATGTGCGGCATGCCTATGCCTGTGCCAGTGCCAGTGCCAGTGCCAGTGCCAGTGCCAGTACCTAACCGGTGAGCCGTTGCCGGTAGATGCACTGGGCACTGGGCACTGGACCAAGCGATCAACGATCAACGATCAACGATCGGCAGACCCAGACCCAGATCCAGCCAGACCCAGCCAAGATACGTTGGTCCGTTGTAAATGATTGGGACCCTCAAAGACCCGGGGGAGGAGCCGCAATGGAGAGAAAGTACAATGTCCTTTGAACAAATCACCAACCGTCCCAGAGCAAAGCGGAGACCACTAAAGTTCTCTGGACAGTTGCGTTCTCTGGGGGAGTGAGAGAGAAAGAAGGAAGAAAAGAGAGCGAAGGGGTGGGGGGAACGGAGCCATGAACCGGACCGGCTGAACCAATGAATGCAGTCGAGGGTGAGGATTAGGGAAGTAGAGTAGGTACATACATATACATACCTTATTATTATGTACTGTACATAGGTACTCGGGAGTATAAACATCGTGCGAACCGTGGGACCTACTACCAATAGAAGGGACTCCGTTCAACCTTTCCCTCACTCCAAGTACCTCAGCCCAAATAGACTCACGACCGTTGAGTCTTGGGCGAAAGCATGTGGTGGTATTGTATGGGTAGTAATAATATACGAGAGATGAAACATGGCGAGAAAGATGGGACGAAGACGTTTGAGTACCTTATCCCGTACGAAGTAGATTTACAAAGATTTAGCCAAGGACAAAAGCCCGAGGTGGGAAGTTGTCACGGTTGCACTTGCTCGGATATAAAGTGTCACGAAAAGGAAAGTTTGCCGCGATACAAATGAACAAAATCCCATAAAATGTTGCCAAAGTCCCTTATCATGAGGTAAAGGAGACGAACTCTGAAGTACAACGTATAAAGTAAACCAGTCTTTTCATCGTACCGAATCTCTTAAGGGGTTGGCGATCACAGGTAGGTACCCACTCGTACGGTGATTATTCTACACAAGCAGGTATCGATACCTCGTACATACGTAGGTTGTATGTACATCTGTTGCGCTGACAAAGGCCCGGTGAGAGGGGGATACAAGCGTAGTCCAGCAGGTCGGACTTAGGATGCAATGTACGTTGTACGTTATAAATTCTTGGTAAGTCTGGGGAGGCGCACGGTGGTCGTATCTGCCGTTCCCGAACGAGTTATGGATACAACGTACAGATACTCCGTACAAAAGGGTGTTTTGTGGCCCACCCGCCCTCCGTATGTACGCCACTTGGTAGTACCCGCTCCAAACGCTCTCTGTGGCTGCCCTTCCTGGGCAAACCAAGCCCAAGGTAGGCAAGCGTATTGACTCCGTACGCTGTACATGTCATTTCTACGTGTTCATGCATACTCGTGTCGTTGTATGTACATCCCGCCCTCCAGGAGCGGAGTCGTGTCACTTGTCCCGTCTTGTCTTGTCAGGAGCGAGAGCGACCTGCCGACTCGACTTCAACCGCCCTCGTGGCACCCTGTGTCATTTTAATTCCATCTCCGAAGTGTCCCAGGGACCCCGGATGCTTGACCCTCATTCGACCCTTGTTCCTTTTTTTTTCTCCTTCCCGTTCAACCACCGGCGGGTTTAATACCGCGCTTCCTTGAACGTATATATATGTATATCTCTATCCCTATGTCTACGTTGGCTGTCTACGTTGTCTGTCTACGTTGTCGGTCTACCTATACTCCCGTCTCCTCTCACTCCAACCAACCAATCGCCATTCTATTGGGTCCGACATGATCATGTGTATGCCTATGTATGTGTGTCGGTATGTAAGTTGGTTCCCTATCTACGTTGCAACGTATCCCACGCAAGTGCCTGTTGGCGCTAAAAAAGCGTGGCCGTCCTCGTCGACTCGCAAAGTGCCAACTGTCTTCTTGTTGAAGAACCGTCGTCGCATCGGGAAAGGCGCCGCATTTCGGGCCCTCGCGCTACCGGTCTCTAGCGGCGACGCCATAACCTAAACGACTCACCCCCCCACCGCAGGAACTGCCGCTTGATGTACAAAACGTACCAATCCTGTGCTGTTATTCGTAAGCTAGGGTCGGTTTATGAAGTGTATCAAGCCAATATCGAGACGAGGACTAGGTAATAAGGTAAGGTAGGCAAGGGATAATGTTGGTCGGTGATCGTCGCTTGCCGTTGCCCGCTGAGGGGATGCCCGGAATGCGTGTCCCGTGTCCAGTCGCGTTCGTCGCTGTGAGCCACACTCCTGTTTTGAACATTATCCGGCCACATTAGCCATCTGTATTCGGGCATGTTGTTGGGGGAGATATGTTTGTCAATTGACCGAGTCTTCCTTGGCCTTGCCCCCCCCCCCACCAACCCACCACCATCTAATTACTTCGGGTGACGACGTGGAAAGTCGTTCGTTAGCTGGTGGTGGGAGGTGAAGCGAATTGCCCTCCTCGGGCCGGCCCCTTTCTGCATTCTTCTTCTTCTTCTTCATTTTTTTTTCTTCCTTTCTTTTTCGGTCGGGACCATCAGGCATCTTTCTTGCCATTCGTAAAGTGGCAAATCCACCTGCGCCCGCAGGAAACCAATATCCGACTTGGGGATCGATCGCATTATTGCTGCACGTGGGCCAAGAAAGGGTTGTGTGCCCCAATCAAGCCTCAATTGTCAATTGACAATGACAAGAAGATAATAGGTATGTATGCTAGGGTTTGCCTGGCCACGTGGAAGACATGGAATCTGCTGGCGATGGGCCAGGCGAGATGGCACATGCATGCGTCGCGCATGGATCGTGATCCTACGCAACCGGTGAGCCCTGCTCTGTACGGTACGTGTGGCCCAAGGGGGTTAGGGAACACGAGATCTATGCATCGAGAGATTCATGCACCATATTGAAAGAAGCATCCCCCTGGTCAGGAGAGACGACGAGGTGATGAAGGGCCGGTATTGTGACACGAATGGGCGATGCATGTCGGTACCGTCCTTGTCGATGTTGATGGCAATGCAAGGGGAGGTCTGCCACTCAGATGCCTAGTTTACCTTGTCAAACGTTCAAGGCCGATCTGCGCGATGATACTCTGACAATCTCCGATAATCAAGAGCAACAGGTCACGGAGGTTGTTTTGTTCATCGGTCTCAAAGTTCGGATAGGATTCAGGCCTAAGAACACCATGGTCCGATCATCCCTGAATAATTTACGTGCCGTTGTACGTACCTCGGATCGTTTGGTGTGAACTCCCGATGCATAGATTCTTCGAACAAGGGTGGATCGGATGCAACAAATACAACGTACGTGTACAACGTAATTGCCGAGACATTCCCATTCGCTCTTTGTTGAGCCTTCGAGGATGGTTGTTGTTGGTGATGCAGTGATGAATGCTGGCTGCATCGAGTGACAAAGGGACCAAGAAACAAGTGAAGAGGCTGATGACTCAGCAACCGTTCAGGACGGCGGGGATGCCCCGTAATTACTCATGCCCCACGATCCCAGCAACATTTGAACCCCCCCCCCTCCATCGACGAAAACCATCGCCAACTTGAGAGTCACTAATTCATCAGCTTTCCACGAAAGGACAGCCAGAAGTCCCCTCCATCACACTTACATACTCTCCCAATTCTTCGCTATTACGATCATGCTCGAGACAGTCCCACTTGAGCTGATCCCGCCCACGCACTCCGTCCATGTCGGCTTCTACCGCAACGTCCGCAACTCGGCAAAATTACAATCGCACCTCCTCGCCCGCAACACGGACTTCGAATACGCCTTTGTCGACGCCTCCGTCGTGTCCTCTCGCGTCCACCTCTTATCCGCCGCTTTCAGGGCGCTCACAGCTCAACTATCCGGGACCCTCAGAACCCCGAATGTCCACTCGGAACTTGTCACTTCCCTGAGCCCTTCGCATAATGTAATAAACCACCATGTTTTGACATTGAAATATGATTTCCAAGATGACTTCCTCACGAGCAACAAATAGCTGACAGAAGGAACCGAAACGAGTAGATCGCGGATGCATACCGTCGCTTCGGCATCGGCCCCGACACGAAAGATCTCCTCGTCGTCAAGATCACCTTCCCCACCGATGCTGTCCCTACCCCGCCCTCGCGCGAGCAAATCCAGAAGCACCTAGACGAGAATGTCGAGGGCACGCCCACTGACTTCTCCGACGAGGCCATTGCGGAGGTTACGGATTGGGGGAAGGTGAAGAAATATTACAAGCTCAACGGGTTGCCGTGGCTCGACGCCATCAAGGATCAAGAAGAGAGCAGGGGACAGATGCAGGGGCTTGTGTTGGGGGCTATGGCGCTGCGTGGTGTCTAGATGCCGTGGGACTTTTTTTTTTCTTCGAGAACGGCCAGAAACTAAAAGAAAAAAGGAAAGAAAAGAAAAGAAAAGAAAAGGCAGATGGTGCGGAATCGTTGCAAAGTCCCGGCCCCATGATAGTAGACCGATTTCTCGAGGTAAAGTAACATCAATTCGCTCTTGCTAGACGTTCTATCCTCTAACCATGCGCAGTTGGACTCGGCATGGGTCGGTGTCACGTTCCCTATCGCTCTCGCTTCTCCCCCAACGCCCAACAGACAAACAGACAGAAAAGAAAAGGGATAAAAAAACTGAAAGCAAGGAGGAAAAGGAAAAGCAAAAACAAGAGAAGACAAGAGAGAAAAAAAAAAGAAGAAAAAAGAAGAAAAACCCCCGGCCTACGACGTCAACCCGACAGTCTGCTTCGCTCTCCGCACCAGCTCACCCCACATAGCATCTCGCCCCGCGCGCGTCCTCTGCACAGCATCCCGGTTCTCGTACGCCCGTCGGAGAAGGTACTTCATGCACTCGCCCGTGGATCCCCAGACGAGGTACTTGTACGTCTGCAGCGTCTTGCCGCCCTGTCTCGCCGCCGCCGCCGTCGTCGTTCCCTTCTTCGCCGACACGAGCTCGCAGCTGATCTCGTCGGCCATGCCCTGCAACTGCCCGAAGGCGACGTCGATCTTCGCCTCGCCCGCCTCGCAGATGGCCCGCGCGCGACGCACCGACTCTGCATTATGCGAGGCCACCACCAAACTGGCCTCGGGGAACGGCGGCCCTTCCGCGCCCGCGCCCGCGCCCTCGCCCTCGCCCGCGTTTCCAATTTCCTGTTTCCGGCTGCGGCTGCGGCTGCGGAACACGTCCCCCCACTGCCGCCGGAGCATGCTCGCGGCGATGGCATCGTACGCGGCGTCCGTATCGGCCTTGGTGTCGTGGATGAGATGCCGCGGGTCGGACCCGAGGTAGGCCCCGCGCACGAGCTTCACGCCCAGCGTGAAGCCGCCGTCCCGCGCGGCGACCAGGTGCCGCGCCAGCGTGGCCGGCGTCGATTTCAGGTACGCCTGGTAGGTCCCGTAGATGACGGCGCGGCCGGGCTCGGTGTTGTACCTGCGCATGTAGTCGAGGGTCCAGTCGTCGATGCCGGGCTGCAGGGCGGCCTGTTCGGCGTCGAAGAGGAGGCGGACGCCGTGCTCGGCCGCGCAGGCGCACACGCGGTCGATGGCTTCCGCGAGGGCGGGGGGAGGCGGGAGGCGCTCGGAGAGGGAGTAGAGAGCCTGGCGACCCGCGCCGGTGAACCTTGGAAAATAACAATGTCAGCAACGCGGACTGAGGAACTGAAATAACAATCGGCAACCCATCAAATGACATGCTGAGCGGGGATGGTTCGGTGAGTGTGTCCCCTGGTAAACTCACTTCAAAGCGACAAAATCTCCCGGCTGCGCCAACTTGACGGTGGTTTCCGTCGCCTCAGCCCACGGCACGATTTCGTTCTTGATGCAATCCGCCGCCGCCTCAGGCCCGTCACCGCCGCACGAAGCCAAGCCCCGCGCCTGGGTTTCAGACAAGACGACCTCCTTTGCGTAACCCAAGATGACGCCGGTGAACCCGATATCCTTGAGCCGGCGGATCGTCTGCCGGACCTCTTCGGGACGCTCGCCGGCGCAGAACTGAGCGTAGAAGGTCTTCTTGAGGAACCAACGGAGGACCGGATTGCGGTCCGGGTTGAAGAAGGCGTTGGAGCTATGAGCCAGGACACTCATGACACGGAGGGAAGGGCGTAGGAGGACCGGGGAGGAGGAGACGGTGGTGGTGAAGAGGGAGCGGACGATCATGGAAAGAGGCAGGAGGGAGAGAGGGGCGTGAGAGGGCATCCTCGGTTGTTCGGGCGCCGGGGTCGGCGTGTTAGAGGGCGGCGCATGAGGGTCGGCGAGGAGGCTGCTGTTGTTCTTGGAGGAAGTGTGGATAGGAGTCTTAGCCGGAGGAGAAGGGCTTCCACTCGTCGTCGCGACGACAGTGGTGGCGTCTTCAGAAAGTTGTTTCCTCTTCAGCGTCGAAATAGGTCGTCGATAGGTGAGAAGAGTGAGGAGGGGAGAGACACCCGGTCTTGGACCTGCGGTGCGACGATGATGGATGACGGCCGCCGCCTCGCGTAGCATGAGAGGCGAGGCGGCCGTCCTGGACACCGCAGGGAGAGAAAGCGTAGAGATGAATGCCATTAAGTTCTGTTTTGTCTATCGTGATGTGGAAGAGGGGATGAACGAGTTCAGGTGAGATCACGGAGGGAGGGGATCTATTGTACCCAAGGTTGGTTTCCGTTGGTTTCCTACCTTACTCCACGATAAAGCTAACCAGATGATGACCCAACCATGGCGAAACCTTGTAGACGTAAATAGCCAAGGGCGGCTCCTTCGTTGTACTTCGTACGAAGACGAGAGACGGATTGACGGCTAGATTGGGCCTTTATCAAAAGTCAATGCGGTGTGCCCAGTAACCTTCGCTGCATTTATCTCCGATTTCGCAGACAAGGCAAACGTCACCCCTCTTTTCAAAGGTTCGAACTTCCCAACCCATCTTTGTTTTGTTTCGGTGTGCGTGCTGATAACAGTTCGAGAATGTTCATTCGGTCGCGGTCGCCCCCCCCCCCCCCCCCTGGTTCGAACATGCCGGTACTCCCGTAGCTCGTGCAGCTCGTAATCATGACGCCGGCGCCGGCGTTAGCTAATAGCTCTCGTTGGTTCCCCGGCGTTGGTGCTTATCAGGCGTCACGTGAGACAACTAATGCCGTAGATAACCGTGGGGGGAAAAGAGACAAACAGTTGGTCAATCGGCGCCGGCGGGGAATAGTAGGAATGTGGGTATTGTTTCGAATCAGACTCGGGCTTGGTTTGACACGGATCATGTGTTCGAGACGTGTGACAAGAGTGACAAGCGTTGACTGGTGACACAATGCCACCGCCACCGTTTACCTTTGGCTTTGGCCTTGTATCTTGGCAGGCGCTTCCTTTGAGGAACGACCACTGACCACGTGGTGTCGTCCTTCGAATGCGTTCATCGTGGCGGTTGGCGCTGTGTGCCCAAAGCTTCCCCTTTTCCTCGAGGGCCGGTTTTCGGCCACATGTTTTTGGGAAGGCCGGATCGGATACCTTCCGGTTGGACGCGGGTTTAGGGGACGAGGGGCCTCGTGACCGATGACAGCTCGAAGCACGGACCGACCGGACAGGATGCAGCGAGCATGATTGCAGTACAACGTACGTACTCTGTGCCTTAGCATGAGGCCAGCCAGGGCTATGCATCACACCGCCCTCTCATCCGCTTTTTCTCCAGGTCTGGTGATTTCCATCTTCATTGCTGGCTGCCGATTGGGACCTGAATCGCCGGCGGAAGAATTCAACGTAGCCGATGTGCCTTCCACGGACTAGGCCAACAATATCTTGTAAGCCACCGTAGACGAGGCCAAAGAGTAGGCCCTGTCTTGCCGTCCTGGCGGCGGTGGGGAGGGAGAAGCGGTCTAGGGAGGTTCCCATGTCAGCATGAACGAAGGCCAGCGGCCGGCCGTTTTGGTTGATCACCCTGGTGGAGACGAGATGACTATCGGAAGAGAAGGACGGACTGCCAGCTTTTTCACTCACTCCACAAACTGAAACCACCTGCCACGGTCAAGCTGGCGAGGACGGTGCTCAACAGATCCGTGGATCCACGGCATCGGTCAATGGTGCTCTCGAGACCGAAGGCCATGAGCGACCAGAACCCGACGCGGGCGCCCATCCGAAACCCCTCGCGCAGGCCGCCGTACATGGTATGGTAGTTCTTGGACTTGTGGTAGAGATACCAGCCCGTCGTGGTCGTGGGCATCTTGTGGGCGTGCTCGGCCCGGAAGCGCAGCTGGGCCGTACGGCTGCCCTGGATGAGGCCGAGGGTGTAGCCCATACCGAAGCCCACGAGGCCGGCGGCGGGAATGCGGACGGGCGTTGGCATGGAAAGTCGGGACTCGGACGGAGGGCGGACAAGGTCCAGGGATTCGGCTATTGAGGGCATCGAAGGCGCTGGGCGCGTTGGGGAGGTCGCGTTCATGACAGCAATTGTCATGAAAAAAAAAAATGAAAAAAAAAAAAACCGGGCGCAGAAGAAAGAACCCCAATTATGAAGGGTGGTTTACTTTCCAGGAGGCGAGCGACTGGCCATTGGAGTTTTCAGTGATGTTGAGGTTGGGCTGCAGATTTCTCCAGCTAGGTAGTATCCTAAATAGCGATGCGAGGTTTTTGGAGATGCCTTGGCCATTCTTCGGCCCTGGCGCCCTGATTGGGCCGAGGAGGTACACGCTGTCAGGTGACCACGCATTGCGCGGAGGAGCAGTGTTAAAGCGATGGATGTATGGATAAGGTACCTTATTATTAGGAAGCAAAATGGTGACGGAAATAAGGTACTTCGTGTATGTACTTCGTGTATGATTTACAAAGGCGGTTCCTGGGTGGCCAATCAGAACTAGTAGCCAAGGATGACAGCTACAGCTGCTGGCGCTTGGATGCCAGTCGCATATCCGACGCCTCCGAATATCCTCACCCGAAATGAAACCACAGAGGCCGGTGAATCTGCGAACCAATATAAGCGACCACGGAGTATTTCATAGCACCTTTTTGCCTCTACCACCATGGTGAGTCCAGTCTTTCATCTTCGTATCTTCGTTTGAACATGAGATGTTCTATTACTCACATAAATCGATCTAGCCCCGCCACCAAGACATGGATGACCCCATCTGGTCGATCCGCTTCAAGCACGGCGTTCACACCGTCCTGCTGTTCATCGATAGCATGAAGCCCTTCTCCGAGGTCACCAGCACGCTTCTCGAGATCTTGCGCGAGCGCTACCCTGACGGCCTGACCCTCAACCACACAGACGGTGCGCCTTCCACGAAGCTGCCTCCCCCGGGCTCCGACATGCCGCGCATTGCTTATGGTGTCCCCCATAATCCCAACGACCTTTCCCAGGGGTGGCGCGAGCTGCCTGTCAGGCAGACGGATATCCCATTGGACTCGCCCATCAAGAACAACGGCGTTGTGGCCTTCACTTTCGTCTCCGATGACAGGGACGAGCTGGAAGAGGTCGATTTTGTGGTGGATGTGCCCAGCTTTGAGGATGAGTACGATGAGAATGAAGAACAGGAGAAATAGGACAGGAACAGCGCCATCGGGAGGTCGATGTTGATACTCGTTTTCCTGCTGTGGTCTACTCCAAGGAGAACCGTGACGAGTATGAAGGAAGCTCGGGAAAGCTTGAGACTTGAGAACGAAGGACGATAGGAAACATGGGCGCGATATTATCATCGGCACTGTATTTGGTATTGGCTATGGCTGGTTTACGACGGCGTTCCGGCTCAAGAGTAGGGAAACGGTTTAGATACGAGTGGTGCTGGTGCTCTGCTCATCTCACTGTCACTTTGAGAGTTGAGCTGTTTTTCCGAAGTACCGTACCGCCGTACCGTACCTTGAAAAAGTACCTAGTTCGTGATTACCTCGTAATTACCGTAAGGTAAGGTACCTTACCTTAGGTAAGTAAGGTACCTCCTCCGTACTCCGTACAGGGGGTTCAATCTGTGCCTGTCCCACAAAACAACACCCCCTGACACATGTGCCATCTGATTCGCAGGCCCCTCGAATTGCAAATTCAACCCCCAAATCGAGTCCGGCGCAATAGTCAACGCCTTTTTCCCGAGACCTTTTCCCCCTTCCCCCTTCCCCTGACACCTCATACCCATTCGCACATCGCTACCCTTCACCATCCCCCCAACATTGGCTGGCCGTCTCCCACGACGCCGGCTGCTGGATGCCGCCGCTTACATGTCCCTCGCGGTCATCCTACGCCATGGTCTCCGCCTCCTGGTTCCCCTGGCGGTAGCCTCGACTCTTTACCTCTACCTTTACCCAGTATTTCTAGGATGCGCCTTTCCCCTCCCCGCGACGGCTCGCCACGGCAGTACCGGCAAGGACTCCTCTAGTCCCGTCGGCGAGACCGTCGGCGAGACTGCCGACGACTGGTCTGCCTTCTTCGAAGCGGCACGGCAACACCTCCTCCCCCTGCCCGTGCCTTCGCCCACCGGTGCGCGTCCGGCCCCCTTCCGCCTGCTCGCCCTGGGAGATCCCCAGCTCGAAGGCGATACCTCGATTCCCAACCTGACTGGTCCCCGTCTCCCGCATCTTACGAGAGCCATCGAACGCCTCACATCGAAGACGTCCCCCGATTCCCTGCCCGACCGTGTCCGCCATGCTCTACACGACTGGGTCGACTTCCTCTTCGAAGACATCCCGACCGAGGTGGGATCGCTCCGGAAGCGCATCGACCTCTTCGGCAACGACTTCTACCTCGCCCACATATATCGTACCGTCCACTGGTGGACCAAGCCGACCCACGTCGCCGTGCTGGGCGACCTGGTCGGGAGCCAGTGGATCAAGAACGACGAGTTTGACCGCCGAGGCCGCCGCTACTGGCACCGCGTGTTCCGCGGCGCCGAGCGCGTCCCCGACCGGCTAGCCGCCTACCCGGCCATGGAGTACGAGCTGTCCGCCTACCTGGACGACGAGGACGCCGCCACGGCCCGCTGGTCGCGCCGCGTCATCAACGTGGCCGGCAACCACGACATCGGGTACGCCGGCGACATCAACCGGGAGCGCTTTGACCGCTTCGAGCGCGTCTTCGGCAAGGCCAACTACGAGCTGCGCTTCGAGCTGCCGGTGCGCGACCCGGCCGTCAACGCGACGCTCTTCGACGGCAAGGCCAAGACCAACCTCGAGTCGGAACGCCTCGCGCCCGAACTCCGCGTCGTGGTCCTCAACTCGATGAACCTCGACACCCCGGCGTCCGACGCCCGGCTGCAGGACGCGACCTACGCGTTCGTCAACGACGTCATCCGCACCTCCGCCGCCGTGGAGTTCGACGGCACCTTCACCCTCGTGCTGACCCACATCCCGCTCCACAAGCCCGCGGGCGTGTGCGTCGACGCGCCGTACTTCTCCTTCCACCCGGCCCGGTCCGGCGGCGTCGGCGGCGGCGGCGTCAAGGAGCAGAACCAGCTCTCGGCCGACGCGACCAGGGGGTTCCTGGAAGGCATCTTCGGCATGAGCGGCGACCCGGACGCCCGTGGCCGCGGCAGGGGCCGTCCCGGCGTCATCCTCAACGGCCACGACCACGAAGGGTGCGACTCTTACCACTTTATCCGGCAGGCGAAGGACGACGACGACGGGAACAGCCGCTCCTGGGAGGCGGCGCGCTGGCCTGACGCGGTGACAAACGGTACCGTGGGCCGAGACGACGTGCCGGGTGTCCGGGAGATCACGGTCCGCAGCATGATGGGCGATTTTGGCGGGAATGCCGGGTTGCTGAGCGCTTGGTTTGACGAGGAGAGCTGGAGCTGGAAGTTCGAATACGCCACGTGCGCGCTGGGGAAGCAGCACTTTTGGTGGGTGGTTCATGTTTTGGACCTTGTCACCGTTGCCGTGGCCATCGCCTATGCTGTCTTGACCAGGCTGGCTGGTGGTGGGAGGGAGCAGAACGCCGGGGGAAAAGGTAGCCAGGGCGGTTCTCGCTCTGCGACGAGGTCTCCCTCCCAGACGTTTGGGGGCACCGGGCTCAAGGGGACACTCAACGGGACACTCAACGGGAAGACCGCTTCCGTTGGAAAGGAGGCAGAATTGGCCAAGACGCCGTAGCGTTTGCTACGTTCCGAGTTGTACATTAGCGTATATGTGTATAGATATATATATCCTACGATTACCTGCATAGGGTACTAATATGAGACGGTCTGAATGCTCGATGCCCAGCGTAACTGCCTTAGGCATCGTCCATTTCCGGAGGCAACTCATCGCCTTTCCTCCTTGGACATACAATATGCAAAGTGCGAAGACTTGATATGTCCTCCTGCGGGTAGCCACATCATGCTATTCGGAACGCCCAAACACCGAACAGCCCTCCTCCTCCGCCCCTCGTTACCCAAAACCACCACAGACAACCCCCCTCTTCGACGAGCTTTCAGTGCATGTGCTACAAGCAACGCTGAACGACAAAAATGCGCGGTTATCCTTCGGCCCTTGGGTCCCGGAAAACGGGTGTGACAGCACCAAGCTGTTTGCGGCGTCTTTTCGACCACAGCAGGCGCCGTGTCACGATCGGACGGGATGTGATAGCGGCCCCTCTCCTTTTTTCTTTCTTTTTTTCTTTTCTTTTTTGAGAATTTGACTTGAGAAGCCGACACTGTGTCTCTGAACGTGTCACTCGTTATATCTGTCCTATGTAACCGCGGATGTCGTGTCGTGTCGTGTCGACATGTTTCCGGTCCGTCCCTCTTGCACAACCGGGAGGCCAAGGGGAAGAGACGGACAAACGTCCTTCGTTCCCTGTGTGTCCTGTCTGACGATGTGAACGGCGGCTGTGAGGACTTATAGTGCGGGGAGTGAGACATGGCAACATCGCTGTCGACGTAAGGGTGGAACTGGAGGTCTATTATGAGAGTAGTATAATAAGGCATACAAAGGCTGCTTCAAGGAAGTCTTGTGGTCGAGCAAGTTGATGCTCCGTCGTCGGGAACAACACTTTAAGAAGGATGGAAAGAAATCGAAAAGATTCTACCTAGAAGCCATCCATCAACACCTTGCCCTTGAATATCAACCTCCAAGCTGTCTTGACCGTGGCCGCCTAAGCTTTCTACATCAGCTCGCCATCCACCATAACTAGTAAAACCATAGAAAGATCCACGTCGTTGTCGTTGCCCAAGAGAAATACGTTCGAACAAGGAGAAACACGATACTCGAAAAGACGAATGTGATTGTAGCAAGTTTGAACGGTCCATGTTTGTAGGGAAAACACAAGTTGCTGCCCTTGGTCCGGCTGAGCTCTTCGAGAGTTTCGACGAATAGAGATAGAATTTGGCCTCTACAGACAGCCTATTGTACAAGGTTGGTTGGTTTTTTTTCTCGTAACAATACACGCAACGCGCGATTCCGCGACGTTTCCCGAATCTATATGTTAGGTCGTGGGGCATCCCAAGGCCTTCCCGATGAGACCAAACAGCCCGCTCCCAACGGCGCCGCCGCCGCCCTGTACTAATCCCACAATACCTATCACAAGATGATTTGTAGCTTTCGTTGGGGTTGTTAGAGCCGGAAAAAAGTAAGAGGTGTCGAGATGTTCGTCCCAGGTGGATGGCAGGAAGGAGGGCGATTAAAAAAAAAAGAAAAGAAAAGGGGGGACGACGAATCCTTTCTTTAAGCCGTCTTCTCCCCCGGGGACGGGTTATCCTTCTTGGCCGGGACGAACCACCCCGCAAAGGAACCCATCATGCTGTTCATGGCCTCCTGTTGCATCTTCTCCTGCATGGCGGCCTCCTCCTTGAGCCACTGCTCGCCGTTCTCCCGGATGGCCCTCTCCAGCTCCAGGTAGTTCCGCTGGCCGCGCTCCCGCGCAATGTCCTGCAGCATCTTGCCCTGCGCAAAGGCCTCGGCCGGCGTGAGCTCGCCGTCGGCGGGGGCCATCATGCTCATGTTGGACGGCTTGAGGCCCAGCATGTTGCCCAGGATGCCCATGCCGGACGGGGTCTTCTTCCTGCCCTTCTGGGCTTCGATTTGCTTGTTGAACTCGGCCCGCGCCATGGCCTCGCGCCGCGCGAACTCGGTGGGGATGTGCTTGCCGTCGAAGGACTTGAGCACCTTGCGCACGTCGCCGTACTGCATCGTGTGGATGTACTCGAGGAAGGGGATCAGGCTGACGAGCTCCTTGTCCGTGGGGTCGCCCGTCCACTTGTCCAGGATGATGGCGTTCGCGGGATGGTTGCGGACGTGTTCGGGCTTGGTGTCGATGACGATGACCTTGGAGAGGTCGCGGTTGAGATAGGAAAGGTCCTGTGATATGGGTCAGTGGGAAGAGGCAAGGGAAAGGGAAAAGAATGGAAAGACATGATGGAAACAAACGCACCTTGATGATTTCACCGTCTTGATACTTGGTGGCCTCGCGATACAGTGGCCAGGTGATCAACCGGAAAGGATCGAGCTTGCGGACGAGCGGCTCACCCATGGCAAACGGGACGGTGGTGAAAAGGACGAGTTCGTAATACTGGCTGAGGTAGCGGAGGAAGTAATCGATGCCGGGCCGCTTGGCTATCCTCCAACCGTGCTCGCGCGACCACTCGCTGTGCACCAGCATGTCCTCCAAGCTTATGCAGAGCGTATAAGGGCGCTCAAAAGAAGGGTCCGGGTCGGGGAGGAGCTTCTCAAAGGCCGGCTCCTGGTAGTAGTTGAGGAACTCCTTCATCCGGGTCGACGCGCGGTTCCACCACAGCCCGACGCCCCAGCCGTTCGGCACGTCAGCATGGCGCTCGGCATCTTGGGGGTCCTCCCAGTTGCGGCCGAGGTAGACGATGCTGCCGGCGCCGAGGAGGAGGAAGGCGGCGAACATGCGGTTGGCGAGCTGCTGGCGCTTCCGCTCCGACGACGAAACGTAGGCCGAGTCGGGAAGTTCGCCCTTGGCGCGACCCCCGCCATAGGCTTCCTCGTCGGCGATGGCCTGAAGGGCCGACCGTCCACTCTTGCCGGCCATCTCGTACTCGAGGGTAGAGGGGATACCCTGGGTGAGGTCGGGGAGGGGGCCCGTCGGCGCCTCTGGTTCTGTTTCTCCGCCCTTGGCAGCAGCCTCGTTGCGGGACTCTTTCGCGTTGGCGGCGTCTGGGGTATCCTTGTCCTTGGGGGTTTGTGCTGCAGATTCAGGTCGCGAGCCAGAATAAGGCTGCTTGGTCTCGTCGCTACTCGGCTTCTGGCTTTCTGTAAGATCGGGCTCGTTGTTTTTGGAATAGGACCTGCGCCATGAGATGGAAGCAACGAGAGGTGATCTGGCGGCCGGTTGCGCCGCAGCGGCAGGGCGGAGCAACGCGGCCCGGAGGCGCGCAGCTCGGGCTGCCCTACACAGCATGACGGGTGGGATACGGTTCGCGGAGTCAAAAAAGAAATCAATGTATCTCGCTGCCGTATCTCAATTAGGATGACAAAAGTGGTGTAGGGGTCGTGGGCGCCATCCAATGGATACGAGGTTTGTGATGTCGAGGCCGAGTCCGATGTTCCCCTTAGTAGCTCGACACCTGATAAAAGAAGGGAGAAGGCTCTGGAAATTTTCGAGAACCTGCAGGCGGCTGCAAAACGCAACTCGAGGCGTCACTGGCACTGTGGTCCGAGCTCCTCCGTTATCTGCCGAGGATCAGCCGGTAATCGATAGAGATAACTGTGGGGCAGGACATATTACGTACGTACGGCTACGGATACTTCGTACGTGTACTCCTCTCTCGTCTCCACGAAAAGGTACACGTCAAATGAGGTCATTTCTTGTGGTCCTGGGCGAGATGGCCCAATCATAGCATACGAAAGAAAGTCTTCATCAGCACCAGCTCACGTGCCGACTTTGGTTCGGATGGTTCCCGCCCCGCATTGAGTGGCTGCAACTCTCCGCTCCGTCGACACCATTACCGTAAACTCAATCCCTCCTTCCCCTCTCCCTCTTCGCATATGGACAGGCTATGCTGTCTTCTCCTTTTCCTCTCTCCTCTTCTTCCTACATCCTCATTCTGGTAAACACGACATAGCTCCGCTTTAGTCCTCATCTTTATCGACTTCTTTACCGCCACGATGGATGCGCTGAGTGCTGCGTTCTAGAGGGTGGTCCCTTTCCGATCCTGAATCTCCGTCCAGTATCACTATGGGACCACCCTCTGTGATCCGTCGCGTCCACCGAGACCCCGGACATTCATACTCTGCGATTTGAACGCGAAACCGAATAGTACCTCTACTGCTTCAATTGACTCAACCATTATCGACGTGGTCAGCGCTTGTCATTCACTGGTCGAAAGCCTTGATTCATCCCGTGAAAATCTCTGCGATTGCCATCTACTCCAACTCGCCACTTCATAGGTTCAGCCCACCACATCACCGAACGTTGCCCTGTCTCCTGTCGCCGTCCCCGTCCCCGTCCCTGCACCTCCGACGACTGCCTAAACAGCCACGATCGGTTATCAACAGATCACTCTATACCTTCTGCGTCCATTTGACCCCCCGTATCAGCGAATCTTACCATGGTTCGCCGCGTAAAGGCTTCGCGGGCCGTTGGTCCAGCCGTGCTCCCGACACCCGTGCCTTCGAACCAGGCCACCCCCCTCAGCTCGGCCTATCCGTCCACTTATGCCTCGGACACCGAGTGGGCCGGCGATGTAGAAAGCATCCCTATCGGTTCCCTTTCTCTGAACGCCTCCGAGCCCAAGCAGACTGAGAAGCCTTTCCCGCTCCTGTCGCTCCCTATCGAGCTGCGGCTCAAAGTCTACGACTTCCACTTTGCAAACGCAATCACGGCGGGTCGTGTCGTCGATCTCGATCCGGACAACCACAAAACGATGCGGAAACTCTTCGCCCTGTTCAAGACGTGCCGTACCGTGTACAACGAGGCGTCGCATCACTACTACAGCACCAGGACCTTTCGCATCTTCCCCACCCACCCCGGCCGATTCTTCAAGACGAAGAAGCCCCTCCTCGCGCGTCTGAAAGCCGCCAAGCGGTCGCAGCTGACCTCGCTCGAGCTTCGCCTGGGCCCTGGCTGGAGTAAGCCGCCCCCGGGCTGGGTCGTCAATCCGGCCCTGGGCCTCAAGGACTGCGTCAACGTCCGCCGCCTCACCGTCTTCGTCGAGTGCGACCCGGGCGATAACGTGTTCAACGGGTTCCGGCGCGCCGACGGCTTCTACGAATCCTTCTCCCGAGACTTGCTCAAGGACGTGCTGGCCGGGCTGCCGGGGGTGAAAGCCGTGCATTTCGACGCGTGGTCCAGTGTGAAAAAGTCGGGGGCCATGATGCAGGGCCTCTTCGACGTGGTCTTGTCGCACGATCGAGAGGTCCGCTGGGGACCGGAGCGGGGGTGGACCGGCGGCATCGATGGAGAGGAGGTCCAACAAGGGCACAGCAACTCGTCCAACGTTGTGCAGATCCCTTCTCCCGTCCTGACGCTCCAGCCGTGGCAGGGACAGCTCGTTGCAGTGTAGGGTTTTGCAAGGGAAAAATAATGCATCAGGCTTTTTTTTTGGGTTTTTTTCATGGTTCGGCTTCGACTTTTGCTCTCTCGTTACGGGTATTGGGTTGGGAATCGCTTGGGATCCTTCTTTATTGCCGGATGGGATGAAACAGGCTTTGTATTAGTAACGCGGACAGCGAAGCTCTTCTCTTTTCTCCGCTTGATATGAATGAAATTGGAAATACTTTCTAGTTGGCTATTGCAAGATGAGGCGGAGGATAGGTCCAAAATCCTACTCCGTATATAAAACGCTCCCAAGAGAATAGCATCACCGGAGTAGCGCCGACTCAATTTAACTTGCAATCAGGTCAAGCTCAATGGACTTTTGCTGGTTCGTGTCACACATTCACTGAGAACGAAACCCTGCACTCAGTATTCGAACTCCATACCCGTAGATTCCAAGTTTGTCGTGGCTATCAGGCCTCGTGTCGTCCTTCGGTCAAGTCTCGAAATTGGATAAAAAAATAAAAATAAAACCACCACACTTCGTCATCGCCCAGAATCACGCTCAATGAGCGACACCCCTGACCCACGTCGCCTACCGGGCCCTCAATGCCACGCATCCCAGAACCTAAACACGCCTCCCAGGGACAAGTCCAACCCGAGGGTCGCGGAGACGACGACGCAACCCCGCGAACCTGCTGGCTAACCCACCAGTTACCCATCGAGATCCTCGTCCTCATCACGGACCTGAAAGCTCGGTTCCGGGTCAATCATTCACCGACTGCCCCACAAAGGCTGAAAAGCCTCCTGGTCAGTGCATTCTCTCCTAACAACTGGCACCACCTGTCAGCCAACCCCACCATCTTTTTCTGCTTCGGCCGAGAGCTTCAACCCCAAGAAAATCAAGCCAGGATTCGCAGTTTGCGCCCATCTCTCTCCCTCCATCCCTTACCGCAACCGTCTCTCCCAACAGTGTCACGCCCCCAGTCTCGTCCACCGTCCACCGTCCACCGACCATCATGCCTCTGGACACATCGACCTACTCCCTCGCGCTCCTGCGCGTAGACGGCCGGCGATGGAACGAACTCCGCCGGCTCCACGCCCAAGTGCGCACGCAGGCTGCCGCCGACGGATCCAGCTACCTCGAGATGGGCCACACCAAGGTCATGTGCACGGTCAACGGGCCGGTGGAGCCCCAACAGCGGCGCGGGGCGATAGGATCGCAGCAGACGCGGGATGCGGCGGTCACAGCGCACATCGTCATGGCGGGGTTCAGTTCAGTGGACAGGAAGAAGACGGCAAGAAACGACAAGTACGTCTCATCTTTGTGCGGTGGTGCAAAAAAAAAAGAAAAAAAAATTCTACGGCCCGGGCTAACCGGGACACATGCAGACGCGTCGCGGAAATGGAAGCAACCATCAGCAAAGCCTTCGCCTCGACCCTTCACACCCACCTCTTCCCGCACAGCCAGATCGCCATCTCCCTGCACGTGCTGAGCCAGGACGGCTCCCTCCTCGCCGCGCTCCTCAACGCCGCCTCCCTGGCCCTCGTCGACGCCGGCATCCCCATGTCCGACTACATCGCCGCCTGCACGGCCGGGTCGACCTCCTCGCACGGCGCGGCCGACGACGCCGCCGACCCGCTGCTCGACCTCAACACCCAGGAGGAGCAGGAGCTGCCGTTCCTCACGGCCGCGACCCTGGGCGCCACCGACCGCGTCGCCGTGCTGGTGTGCGAGAGCCGCGTGCAGCTGGGGAGGATGGAGGGCCTCTTGGCCGTCGCCGTGGATGGGTGCAAGCAGATCCGGGAGAAGCTGGACGAGGTGGTCAAGGAGAAGGGACGGAAGATGGTCACGGAGGGGGCGGTGGAGAAGGGCGTGAATGTGGAGGATACTGGAATGGCCATGTGAGGGCGACTATTGTGAAGATTGGTACGAATGATACCCCCGGTTCAGGCGGCAATGGGAATGATGATGAATATTGACCAAGTTCGTGCTCTCATCTCCTTTTTTTTCCCGTGGTTTGTTCCTCTCCCAGCCTCTTCTGCTCCACTTGCTAGTTTACACATACTAAATCAATCAGCCTAGTTTTGCTTCCTCCTATCTTATTGAAACATCTTAGAGCTCCTCGTGGGCAATAGGCGTCTCCGAAGCCTCTTCCTTGGCCACCTCGGTCGATTCCTCGGCAGGCGCCTCAGTCTCGGGCTCAGGGGCATCGGCCGTCGAACCTTCCGTCGAAGCCTCCTCCTCCTCCTTCACCTCGGGCTTGGCCTCCTCCTCCTCCTCCTTGACCGGCGCGGGCTCGACGATGAGCTCGGCAGGAAGCTTGTGCTTCGTACCCTCGCTCATGCGGATGGCGTCGATCCAAGCCTCAATGTTGACCAGATCGTGCGGGCCCTCGTAACGCCTCCACCAGCGGCGCCGGGCGTTGACGGCGACGAGCTCGACGGGGGACGACGACGACTCGAGGCCCAGGGCCTTGGTGACGGTCGCGGCGTGCGGGTTGACGGCGGCGGGGACGGCGAAGAAGGGGAACAAGTGGCGGTGGCCTTGGGCGTACTTGAAGGCAAGGTCGGCAAGGGAGGCCAGAGCCTTCTCTGCCTCGTCGTCGCCGCCGCCGTCGGCCGGGACGAGGGCCAGGACGCAGGTGTGGGACTTGGAGGTCAGGCACTCCTGCTGGAGCGTCTCGGCCGTGTCGATGGTGGGGATGGGCGGGGCTGCCGGGGCCACGGGAGAGCTGGAGGTCGCGGGCTCCTCGGCGGGCTCCTCGGGGGCGGCTTCGGGGGTGGCCGTCTTGGATTCCGTCTTGGCAGACGACGATGACGATGACGACGACGACGACGACGACGACTTCGATTCTGACTTGGCCGACTTGGACTTCTTCTTCTCCTCCTTGACCGGAGGGTCGGGGTTCGGAGCACCGAGCTGGGAAATGAAGGTGACCATGGCGTCCTTCTTCAGCTCGCCATCATAGACGATGGGTTCCGCACCGCCAGGGGGCAGCAAGAGCAACGTGGGGAACTTCTCGACACCGAACTTCCCGACCACTTCCTTCTGGGTGTTTCGGACCTGGCCGACGGTGACGACGCCGAGGAAATCGATGGCGATGCTCCGCAACAGCGGAGACGTGGTTCCCTTCTCGGTGAAAAGGAGAGCCTTGGGGGTTTCTGCGTTGTCGGCGAGGAAGCTGTCCATGTCCTTGTCGCCTACGCGCTTGACGTGGTTATTGATCTTGTCGACGACGGCGTCGACGATGGCCGAGGCGGTGCGGGCTCCCTGGTAGTCCTCCACGACGGGCTTCTTCCCGGGCGTAGCGCCGGGGCGGACGATCTTGAGAGTCGGGAAGCCCTGGATGCCGAACTGGCCACAGAGGGGCTTGTTGGCGTCGTCGTCGCAGTTGACGGCGGCGACCTTGGCGAGACCATCGAGGCTCTTGGCGGCCTTTTCGTAGGCGGGTTTGAGGTTCTGGCAGTGACCACACCAAGGTGCGTAGAACTCGACAACCTATTGGGCGGCGGGGTTAGCGAGCGTGGCGGAGCTCCAGGGGTGTGACAGTGGTGAGTGATGAGTGACGGGAAAGTGATGCGCAGCGAGACGAATCGACTTACCGAAGTGTAGTTGGACTTGGCAATCAGACGGTCATAGTTCTTACCATCGACTTGCAGGACTGGCGAGCTCTTAGGGTACAGTCCAGCGAAGGCGCCGGGGAGAGCAGCAAGGGCAACGAGGCCCGTGGCCCAGATGTTCTGATGATGCATGGTGTAAGTCGTGAGTCGTCAATTAAAAAGACAAGGCTTGAATTAAAAGTAGAAGAAAAGAGTCGAGGGAAACCCCAGGCATGGGCCGGCCCATAAATCTGTGGTCGGGTTGGTTGGTGGTGGTGAGAGTTGGAGTTGCTGCAGTGAGGCAAAGAGGCCAGCGTGGTATGTTTTGTCGAGGAAGGCTTCGGAACCCCGAAGATACACGAAGTCGATGCCCTGGTACCTGAGGTATTGGACAATGACGCGGGGAAGTGCATGCATTGTACCTTGGTACAAGACCTTACCCCACACCAGCTTGAGCCACATCCTAAGGTACCTTAGGTACCTTAGCTTCGGTACTTACCTTAGCTTGAGGTTCGACTCTAGCACAGCCACAGACACAGCCACAGCCACAGCCCACAACCCACTGCGGGGAGGAAGCCGAGGGCCCCTCTGTCGACTGGAGACCTGTTGCGCAATTCCCTGTTCCTGTTCCTGTTCCTGTTCCTATTCCATATCCCACGTCTCTAGTTGGCACCACCACTTTCCCGACACAATACAAGGAGCAGAAGACCAGGGCTCTACAGAAAGAAGAAAAGAACGAGAGATTTTAAACCCGATAGAAGAGACTATCACTAGGAATCCATCATGGCCGAACCCGTCCCCGCCAGTCTGCGCCACGCAGACATCACTCGGTTCATCAATCGCGCCAACCAGTTGCGCGAGGTGAAGCCCGCAGTCACCTACTGGTGTATGTTTTCTTCCATTGGATATTCCCCTTCCGTCGCGTATCCGCGAGATCTAAGATCCCCTCTGAAACAGGCGAGTACTGGGTCGTCAACCAGATCCTCTCCAAGCAGCTGCACACTACGGACGAGGAGAGCCTCAACTATACCACAAACTTGATGGACCGCCTGGAACAAGTATGCGACTATAAACCCCCCTGAAATATTCTCTTCTTTCCCCTCGGAGGAATGAGAGGCTGACTCGTACGTCTCTGCCTCTGCACTAGACAAAAGCCGAGCATGCGGCCGATGAAGCCATTACAGATGATGCTGTCGGTCAGGCTGTCGTGGAGGAATTCGCTCAGCACACTTTTTCCAGGGCCGAGAGGGTGCTCAAGGCGAACAAGGTGTCAAGGTAGGGCTACTTTGAAGTTCCGCCGTCTGGCCTATCTTCGCATCTAAATCCTTCTAGACAAACCGCCGACACCTTCGACGCCGCGGCGACTTTCTTCCAACTCCTGAACATCTGGGGCCAACCCGACGTCGAAGCGCAGAAGAAGATCAAATACGCCAAGTGGAATGCGGCTCGGATACTCAAGGCCATCCGGGAAGGGAAGGACCCCAACGAGTCGAACCCGAAGCAACAAGAGGCCGAAGCCGATACCGATCTACCGACTCTCGATCCCAACGATCCCGATGTTCGGGTGCTGGATGGGGCAGGAACCTCACGAGGAGCCACGGCTAAGCCTGCCACGGTGGAGGACGATCCGGATACCGAGTTTTACACGAACAAAACCCCTTCCGCTGCCGCTGCCTACGCCAGCGTACCAACACCCCCGGCCAAGTCACCTACCCAACCCAGTCCCAGCGCACCCGGTCCAGCCGACCTCGGCACGGTCCCCACCGCATCTCCCGGCTACTTCCCGCCCACCGTGCCGTTTGCACCGTCTCCCGTAAGCCAAACCGCTGCAAGCGACATCCACCTCCCCAGCGTCCCTTCAGCCCCGTCACCAGTCTCCAGGTTAAACTCCCCGTGGAATCAACCTCCGCCCCCTTCTTCCGGCGCGGCGACAGCTCCTCCACCGACTTCAGGCTATTACCAACAGGCACCACCGCCGCCTCCGGCTCCGTCTCAGCCCCAGCCCCAGTCCCAGCTTACGCCGCAAGTCCACGTACTTCCGCCAGCGATTCAGCACATCCCCGTCACGGCTCCCGCCGACGCCTTTTCGACGGTCGAGGGCGATATACCGGGGGCTACCAAGCATGCGCGGTTTGCCATCTCGGCTCTGAATTTCGAGGACGTCCCCACTGCTATCAAGGAGCTTCGCGCTGCGTTGACGGCACTTGGTGCGCGGCCATAGCCGGCCATTCTCTGATGTATGCTGGGAATCCAGGATGACGTCCCAACATTTTTTCTTCTTATTTATTTTCATGGCCAACATTGCTGCGTGGTTTCTCTTAGAGAGAGTAGAAGTGGAAGAAAACAAAATCCCCCCCCCCATGTCTTTACTATTAATTCCAAGCCGAGATTCCTGGTCGTGATTTATCTCCCGGATATTTTCGATTGTTTGCAAGGATCTCTTGCTCTCCCTCGCCGATCCTAATAGTGTGACCTGGGCTCGTCAAGTCGTCCTACCTGGTCTGCTCATATTCATACAGAATTCCTTGGGGATAGTTTGGCTCATCGCTCTCCCCTCGACGCATGACTCGGAACGCGGGGGAATGGTCGAGTTCCATCCCGGCTCTTCATGCTCGCATCTGGCTGCACACTGACTCGTGGAATGGTCGACAGGTTGGCCGAAGACTTAACTCCGACGCAAAGTCAGGGCAGTCCCTTGACGGGTTACACCGAAGGCTTTGGCATGGACCGGCCCTGAACCTTTCTGATGTCAAGTCGAAAAACTGGAGAAACGTCATGTCAAGCCATCTCAACCACCGCCCCTGATCGACATGCGACCAACCCCGAGGGCCCCTGGGAATTCAAGTAGAGTTCAACCGTCGGTTTCGGTCGTCGGTTTCGGTCGTCGACTTTCTATCAGGGGACCATGGGGAGAACAATGCGAGGCAAAGGACAGCTGCCACACACCCCTTCACTCTCTCTCTGTGTGTCTCTGTCTCTCTCTCTCTCTCACTGTGTGTCTCTGTCTCTCTCTCTCTCTCACTGTGTGTCTCTGTCTCTCTCTCTCTCTCTCTCTCTCTCTCTCTCTCTCTCTCTCTCTCTCTCTCTCTCTCTCTCTATACGCACAATAATAAAGAGGTCAATCTAAAAAGCTGTCCGGTCCATGGGAACCTGAATGTCGAACCGCATTTCTACACGCCGAGTGCAACCAGGGTAAAAATGCTCGGCACAAGAGAATTAACAGATACGGCTCGTCCGCCAGCGGTCGAACACTCCGGCATGTTCCATTACAACACCGGAGTGGTATCGTCAGGCTCGGATGCCCGATCCATGCTGGCCCTGGTCGCCTTCCTCTCCATCGCGCTCTACAACGTCCTCGAGCTCACCTGCATCATCTTCACGACCTTCAAAAAGCGCAGCGGCCTCTACTTCTGGAGCTTCTGCGTCGCCACCTGGGGGATCCTCCCCTACTCCATCGGCTTCCTCCTCCTAGGGCTCGGCGCCAAACCGGCCGCCGCCGTCTACGTGCACGTCACGCTGATCGTCATCGGCTGGTCCTGCACCGTGACCGGGCAGTCCCTCGTCCTCTACTCACGCCTGCACCTCCTCAACCGGAACCGCCGCCACCTCCGCTTCCTCCTGGCCATGATCATCGTCAACGGCGCGGTCCTGCACTCGGTCCTCGCCGTCATGATCTTCGGCGCCAACGCCTCCGAAGGCCCGAGCCGGTTCTACCGACCGTACTCCATCGCCGAGAAGGTCCAGGTCACCGTCTTCTTCGTGCAGGAGACGACCATTTCGGGCTTCTACATCGTCGCCATACGGCGCTTTTTTTGTTGTCGCGACACGGACTCGGTCCTGCACCGCGCGTCGGCCCGCAGCCGGCTGCTCCGTCGCCTCTTCGCCGTCCACGTCGTCGTCATACTCCTCGACGTCACGATCCTCGGCCTCGAGTACGTGGGGCTGTACCAGATCCAGACGGCCTACAAGGGGATGGTCTACTCTGTCAAGCTCAAGCTGGAGTTTCGTATCCTCAACGAGCTCATCAATGTCACGCACTCTCGGGGCGGTTCCGGTGCGGCCGGTCGTCGCCACGACGATGACGACGACGACGACGACGACGACGACGATGACAATGACGACGACAAGAGCCGGAGGAGGACCCCGAGTACTGCCTTTGATTCGGCGGGTCCGCCCCTTCCTCCTGACGACGTCCACTGTTCGTCCCATCGACGACGGAATGCTTTCGCTAGGCGCTTCACGCCGACGCAGCAGCGCGCCGGCAAGGGGGAGGTGTCTGAGGTCGAGAGTGAGACGGCGGCGTATTCATATTCGGGCACAGCGGCGCGAGGCTGCGTATTCGAGCAGGGGCAGGTCCCCGAGGACCGCGTACTCGTTGTGCGGACCACGGAGGTCAGTGTCGCGCACGAGGAAGAGCTTGAGGGGCAGTTGAGGGGCCTGGGCCGGATCGCAACGGAAGGTGGTCGGAGGGATAGTGTGGGTGTTGCGGATTCGGATGAAGACGGGGTCAGGTCGACGTTTGCTCGTCAGAGGTTAGGTTTGCCGTAAAGGCGGGGGATATCAACACCCATTAAAGCAATGATGGTGGCGGTGGTGGTGGTGGTGATGATGATGACGATGATGGTGATGATTTGGTATTGGCGTGCATCCTTCATTCTTTATTCGTCGTTCCTCTCTGCGAAACTGTGCCCTGACCGTCGGGACTCGACGTGGCCATTTGCAACTCAATATCGAAATAGATAGCCGAGTGCCATGTTAGCCAATGTGTATATAGGGAGATGGAACACAGAGCCATTTGCCCAATGTTGGTGTGGAAAGGATCACAACAAGAGGGACACACAAGACGTACTCGAAACCAACAAACGACGACGATACAAATCAGATGTACGGACGGGTCCCATCTGAACGAGTCGTAAAAGGTAGAAAGGTGCATGTGTAGATAGCTATCCTCTGCTGCTTCGCTGTGGCACGGCGATCTTCATACTCGTCACCATCAGACGGCATATCGGCAAGCCACCCTAAAGACCCAACGACCGTCTCGAACTAGGGGTGTCACGACAGCGGGAATCTGCATCCAAGATCC